TGAGAAAATCAGATTTGGGCCACTTTTACCTGCTGTGTAAACGTGTCTTGGCTGATCGATTACATCCGATGTAGGTGGAAAATTGTCTTTAGTTGCTAAATAATCTCAAATAGACCTGTTTCTTCCACTGTTTTTAACTGTCATAACTCCTATGCTCCTGGGAGACAGTGTAAAAGCCAATAAGTACAAGTCATGAGTGTTTTTTAGGCCTTTGTGAAACACCTCTCAGCTCTCACATCTGATAAAGGCAGCCGGACAGGTGGCTTTATCTGGGCTGAAGTGTTTTCCCCTCTCTTCTTATAGGAAAAAAGCACCTGACCTTCAGAGGAAGCTGCCGTTCCTCCTTGCTGTTGTCAGAGCCGGTGTTGGAACCTAGAAATCTTGGGCATCAATAATGTAGGGCTGCTTTCTCCCCTTTGTGCTTGGAACAGTTATATAAGGAGAGATGACTGAGCTTCTGTCTCTGTATCTCTCTTCCTCCTCCACTTTGCATTCTCCCATCCACGCTGCCTCATCTGTCTCTGCTGTTGTCCGCCCTGTCCCTCTCTTCTTCTTCACACACAGGGAGGCTGCTGTCACTTAAATGTCTACCAATAAACCTGTTCATGTTTTCCCCACCCTGAGGCCAACAGTAGGCAGATATTCAGCCAAAAGCTTGTCCAAATATTTGAAGTCCTGAGGGTAGTTCAGTAAGTTTTTGGAGGTCCTGAATATTGGACAATGTTGGAAAAAGTCACATTGAGATATTCAAGGATTTTACAATAAGAACTGTGATAGTCTACAGTATATCGCTGCTTCGGAACAAAACCTTGTATCTCCAAAATGGTTGCTTTACAGGAGAAGGAAAAAACCTACTTTACTTTTAATGTAAGTCAATGGAACCAGGCATTTTCCAAGTTATTTTGGGCCATTTCATTTGGTCCAGTCTCCATTAAATTTACACACAATATAAAGGACAAAAGGCATTTTCAAAAACTGACAACAGCGATATGTAGACATGGTAGCACTTTATTTGCATGGTCCACTATAGACTGTAGTTACTCAGTCTGTCTTTAACTAACATTCAAATAAATATCAATGAAGTGCAACTGAACTTGAAGTTGAGTGTGACAGATTCTATTAAATCTAACGTTAAACCTAAACCTAACCCTAACCTTAAATTAAACCTAAACCTACTGCCAATCTAACCCTAACCATAATGTTGTTGATACTCAACTGATTATCACCAGAAAGTCTGTAAAAAATTTAAGTATCTGTAGATCATCTACAAAGGACCATCCACATACAGTGTGACCGTAGACATGACCCAATAGGGAAGTGCATTTTGCCAAATTTTGGTATCAAGAGTTAATAAATGGAAACCTAGTTAGCTGTGGGAGAAGGAAAAAACAAAAACGTACGCTGGACCAAATTAACACAGGGCTGGTGCTGGAGGCTTCCTCTTTTTGGTGACACCACTGGTGTTAAGATGCAAAATAAATCAGTAGCACAAAAAACTGAGCCTGTTTCATTAAAAAAATAAGGCAAGAGAAATCGGCACGTTTTGTGTTCTATTAGTAACGGACAGGTATCTGGTACAACACTACGTGCTCATGAGGATGTGTCGACTCCTTAATGGACGATGTGCCAACATGTTAGTTTGTCAGAGAAATATATTTTTTCTGTTTCTGGACCTAGCTAACATCAGCTAGAGTACTTGGCATAGTAAGCAAAAAAGCTGCATAGACATATCTGTCTTCTCAATCATGTCCTTAACAATGCGCTCACACTTAGGCTCTCGTGTTTTAGAGCGGCAATGTGTAATATACACACTCACAAATACGAACAAAACCGCAACATTTTACAGTCCTGTTAAAACGTAAAAGCATCTTCTTATGTTCTCAAGTAGTGAGAATGCCTTTGTATGCTGTAGCATTAATTAAAGTTTCACTAGAAAAAGACAAACCCTAAAAAAAACAGCCCCAGACCATTATCCCTCCTCCACCAAACTTTACTGTTGGCACTATTCATTCCAGTAGATATAGAAGGTATCTACCAAACCCAGATTCCTCCATCAGACTGACAGATAGTGAAGTTTGGTTCATCACTACAAAGAACATGTTTCAACTGCTCCAGAGTCCAATGGTAGCATTCTTTGCACCACTTCAGCTAACGCTTGGCATTGTGCATAGTGATCTTAGACTTACGTGCTGCTGATTGGCTACAAAACCCATTTCATGAAGCTCCTGACGCACAGTTTTTGTGCTGATGTTGCTTCCAGAGGCAGTTTGGAACTCTGAATGAGCGATGCAACAGAGCATAGACTATTTTTGTGCTCGTTGAGTTTGTATGGTCTATCGTTCTGTGGCTGAACTGTTTCTAGACAGTTACATTTCACAATAATGGCACCTAAAGTTGACTGAGGCAAATCTAGCAGTAATTTTACAGACTGACTTGTGGCATCCTATGACAGTGGCACGTTTATAGTCATTGAGTTCTTCAGTATGACCTGTTCTACTGACCTGTTTGTCTATTGAGACTGCATGGCTATGTTCTTGATTTTATAGACCTGCTGAAACATCAGAACACAATAATTAGGTGGGGTGTCCACATACTTTTGGCCACCGTGTTTTGATTAATATGCATTAATATGCACCGGTAGTCAAAAAGAATTGCTTACATGAACGCATTTCATACACTGATGTTTAGCAACTGTTTTTGATATATGTTCACTGAAAGGAGGAAAACAACAACAAATGACAAATATTCCGACAAAATACTGCAAGCTGCCATGCAGTTCAATGACTGTCATGTACCTTTGCTCCACTGATGTCTCCTCTCATTAAATCTTTTTAAAATTAAGATGAAAACAATATTGGAATTATAGAAAATGCAGCTGACAGGGAATAATATTTCCTTCGCTGTCTGCTCAGGGGTCTGTGGGTGAATCCCGATGGGGAATGATGTAATTAGCCTCCAAATTTTAATTACCTTTGCTACACCTTCTTTAATTAAACTAAAGTGGTGATGACACAACTCCGAGCCACAAGGACCCAACTAGCTGCCTGTGTGTCAAGCTGACAAAGAAACAGTAGTGTCACTGGAGTATTTCATCACACAGGAACAATTCATTTTTATTAGCGCTATACAGCAAAAGCTTACAGTCACTGTTCTCTATCTCTCTCTGAGTATCTCTCGCCCGTTTCACCCTTTCTCTACTCTTGTTTTTCTTTTCCTTTGTTATGTAACAGAGTCCATTAAAGCAGAATGAACCAAGAGATCAGAGCCAGCCAGGGTGCTGGAGGAGGAAGGGCAAAATGAGAGGGCAGCTATGTCAGCCTGAGACACACATACACACATACACACACACACACACACACACACACACACACACACACACGAAAATACATACACACCTACACACCCACGGACAGAAAAAGGGACATGAGGGCAAACAGTAATGAGAACACACACACTCTGCTTAAGGGCACTCCAGTGTATCTTCTCAAACACACGCCCACACTCCGAGCATCTCAGACCAGAACATTCATACTGCTGAAGTGCAAGAAAGTTAAGCATCATATGACATGGAGAATATTTTGAGAGCCTAATATTTGACATATACACACTACCGTTCAAAGGTTTTTACTGTTTTCAATAATATATAACGAGTTTGGTTATATATTAAATTTCAACTTCACTAGTTTCAAATGATTAGTAGAACACTAGGGGAAAGCGGCGTGTCTAGGGGGACCAAAGTTAGCACCAGTTAGGCCTGGGTAACATTTGAAAATAATTTATTTTCTTGTTAAAAACCAAGATGAATTAAAATCTTTAATAAAAATCATATATTAAGTATAATAATAATGAGTAACAAAACATCATTTGAAAAATGACGTCGTTTTAATATGTGTTACTGCAATCATGTGTGTTCCCTTCTGGTGTAGGTTTATGGCGACTTGCGTGCTCATAGCACTAGGTGGAAAAACTTCAGACTGCAAGTGATATCCAAAGCCATGCTCATGTGCTTTAAAAACTGAAAAAGAAGGCATTTTCCATAGCTACAGCAGTGTCGCTCTAGTATTGAGCCATAAAGGCCTTTAGAAAATCATGAAGTGTTATATTTTCATAATTTTCATAATTTAGCTAACCACTGGGAACCTTAATCTGTATGAAAAATGCTGCAAATTTTTCTCAGTCTGTAAATCACACTGAGAAACCCACAGCAACAGCTTTTTAAGGCCCCATAATAACTCAAAGTTTTAACAATTAAATCATATATATATATATAATATATATATATATATATATATATATATATAGTAGATAATACAAATTTAAAATACAGCAAGTGATTCCTTTTGAACGGCAGTATATATTAGTACTTAACACACAAACAAATAATGCAAAAATATAGTGTCTTCATTCTTAAAAAGAATACTTCACCCAACTTTGATAATATGGCTAACAATGGTTAAGACAAAGAGAGAATTCATTACTAACACAGAATTTTAGGGTACAGCATTCTTTTAAGAAATGAGTTCTACTGAACTTTATAATAACTCTTCAAATAACTATAAAGTTGGGCTGCAACAAACTCTATTATTTATTGAACGGGCTAGTTATGGGAAAAACTGATGCAGTGCCACATTGTTTTCTTAAAAACTACAGCACTCAGTAATGCTCAATAATGATAATAATGCATGCAGTGATTCCTACAGATTACAAATACTGTAGAGAAAGTGTCGCAAGCGATATATCTATTATTGTTTTGATCCAAAGAAGAAATAATTTATACTACAGAAGTAACTTGATGGCAGCGCTGTGATGTGGCACCGTGAGTAGAACTGAATATGAAGTGATAATGGTTCAATTAGCGTTGCCACAGATTAGCACAATGTATAGATTTCAGAAATAATTCTTAGTTGCAGCCCAATTCTAAAGCACAGGCATTATGCCATGTAAACAAATAGTATTTGTCAGCATGATTCAGGGTCTTTATGTTTCAACATCTGCCTTACCTTTCTCGCTGACTGACTCGCTCTCGATCTCCACATCCTCACAGCTGGTATACTCTGGCGTTGTGGCCAGTTCCTCCTCAGAGCTGCTGAGGGACACCTGCCTCATCTTTCCCCCACGCTTGCTTTTGTGCGGTTTGGGCGGCGGCGGCCGCACAGACTCAGATTGGTCAGAGCTGAGTGAGTCGTTGCGCAGCATGCTCTCCATCTTCTCCCGCTTGCTCTTGCGCACAGCCGAGCCGGGTTCCAGGTGCTGCTGACTCCGCCTCAGCGGTGGTGGTTCCACCCCAACAGGTCCACTCCCCGCCGGCGGGCTGTGGTTGGATGTCCGGTGGGTGTGGTGAGGATGACCAGGACCAGGAGGGTAATGAGGCCTAAGAGGGGGTCCCAAGCGATCATCCATTTCTGTATAGGCCAGTGAGACGTCGCTATGGCGACGCTCATGTCGAAAGCGGGACATTTCAGCATGCATCCGCATCTGCTCCTCGTATGGCTGCGGTTTGACCGGATATCGGGCCAGGTTAGGGGTCGCTGCGGTAACGGGTCTGGTACTCCTCCTGTCGCTGCCTCTGCAGCTCATGCTCGCTCAGCAGTGGGCCATCAGGGATGAATCCTGGCTCAGGTGGGTATTCCTCCTGAGAGTGCCATCCACCTCGCCGAGCACGGTATGCCCCTCGCGCCGATTCTGCATCCTCGTAGGGGCCATAGCCTCCGCGCCGCTGCCGCTCCCCGGCCCCGTAGTCGGATGGTGATCGTGGCATGCCAGCCTCCCCCGGGGCATACTGTGAGGGCTCGGCCCGCTCCTCCCTTTGGTCGTACTTTTGGTTCGGGTCCCTGGATGCTGATGGGCTTCTTTTCCTGTCAGACACAAGAAAGGCAGAGGGAAAGGTTAGACGTCCAGCCAGGTAAAGCAAATAGGAAATATGCACTAAAATAGTGGTCTTCAACCCTGCTTCTGGAGATCTACCTTCCTCCACTTGTAATCCGCCACACCTAGTCCAGCTAATTAAGGTAATGGTTAAACCAAATGGACAAAAGAACTTTAACTCAAAGCCTGCCTAGACTGCGTCTATTTTTAGAGATACAATATGTCATACAGCGTCAGAAACCACATCAGCAAGGCTATTTTCTTACTTAGTGTGGTATGTGATGATTTATAAAGGCAGTTTATACAATGTTAACTGGCAGGGTATAAGCGGAGATGAGGACTCAAGTCAGAGGATCGAATTCCAGTGACACTTAAACTGCATATTTACTGACTCACAGCTCGACTTGAACTTGCCTTCAATTGAGTCTCAACTCAAAACAGACACTTTACTAAAGTAACTTTAGCCCAAGAAAAACCTTGCCCAAAACCTGACACATGACATAAAACATTTTGATTCTGGTGTAAAGGTGCACCATTGCTTGCCAATATTTCATCTGTCATACGTTGTCATTTATTGCAACTGAATTACAACAGCAGTGATATCAAGTTCATTATAATTTTAAATGACAAGCATTTTAGTATAACCTTTGGCTAGAAAAACCTTTAATCTGATGGGCATAACCAAAGTGCTACATTCAAAAATTTGAATTATATAAAATACATTGAATAAAAAACACTCAAAAATGCTTGACTGAACAAGTGGTTCTCAAGCTTGGGAGACGGGATTGAGTAAAGACATGTACTGCCTTGGGGCCCTGAGGACTGACACCACTGGCCTAGACTGTACTTTGGATAGTTTGCCAGCTACCCCAATGACTAATCTAGCAAAGTTGTGGTATGTCAATTTTCAGTAAGTTACAGATAACTTTTAAACAAGTTAATTTCATTTCTTTGTTTTTCATGTAGAGGTTTAGCGAATTTTTGAAGAAACTGCAAGACTCTGATAGAACAGGACTAATCATGGTAATGGTAAATACTGTTACATTGCCCAGCCTTACTATAACATACAAACTCAGCCCTGGGGGGTCAGTGTCTTCAGCTCACAGGTAATGTGATTCCACCAAAGGAGAAAGGCATATATGTCTATTCTTTTCATATGTCAGATCTCTTCTCTCTGTTGCTCTTTCTCTCACTCTTGAACATTACAATTTTTTGACCCACATACAGTTCAAAAGCATGCTCCAGCTGCAACCAGCATCCGTTTTAATCATACATTTTGGATCAGTTCAATTAAACCTGTTCTATTTCATAAATGATGGACTTTTTGATAAAGTATTAAGCTATTTAAAGCCATTTGTTACAATGATTTACAGTTCAGGAGTGCTGTTAGGCATGACACGAAGCACCTCAATGCCTTCATAAAACACTTTATAAAATAAATACAACATGATAAAATACACCAATGTTTGAATTAATAATTAATTATTAATAACAGTTGCTTGAAAGAAAAGAGGTCCAGTAAGCAATGTAGTTTAATAACAGTAGGCTGATTCATTAATGTGTGTGTTAATCTGCCCTTCCTTGATGAAGCACTGACACTAACTGCTCCACAGCTTTTCCACATGAATATATTTTGTTACCATGCTTTGCGGGTTCAGCCCCAGAGTGGACATTCAATCTTTTTACACCAACAGAACAAAAAGACCAGTGATAATTGAGGTTCTAATTGTGGTTTTCAAAAACGGTTCTTACATGAACTCATGTCATGAGTAACAAACAGAATATTTCTTAAGCGTATGAAATGCCAAAAATAAGTGCGCTTCAAGCATGACGTACCCTTAGAAGTGTAAAATTAGCAGAGGTGTGGACTCAAATATGAATTTGATGACTTGAGACTCGACCCAAGAAAATCAAAAAAGACTTGTGACTTGACTTTGACTGACTCACACTTTAACTCGGATTTGAGCCTCATGACTCAGAAAGACTCAAGACCCAAAGTGGAAGAAACGTGGACAGGCGTCTGCCTGCAGACGGGACTCTACACAGCCAGCTACTTTTCATGTGAATGGAATCGTTTCCTGCTGTAAATCCGATGTACAGCAGAGTCCTTAAATGTCTGCTACTGTGTTTATGCTCAGCTTATTTCAGAAGACAAGTGAAGCATTTAGAATTCAAGTTCACCTCCATCAGCTAGAAATAAGCAAAGCATCAACAGCATCAACAAGCCCAGCTTAGCTTTTAAACTCTTACTGCAGAAACTTCCCAGGCAAACTGACTATTTTTCTCATGGTAGCAGAACAAAAGAAACAGAGCTCTCTCTATCTGACCGATTTTAACAGCTTTCACAGTTAAAACAAGTGCAACATTCACCACAAAGCTGAAGGTAACTTTTTATTCACCCGCATCTTATTCGAATTTGCCGCTCCACTTTTAACGGTGCAGCAGTGAGGCACCGGAACATAACTGCTGCACCATTTAACGTGGAACGGAAAATTTGAATTAGTAGCTGGCGAATAAAAAGTCAACTTCAACTTTGTAAATTCACCATCAATTTGCAGTCTTTTTTAGTGTACACTTTGCTCAGCTTGGTCATTTTGGCTTCTGATGCTCTCAAATAACCAAAAATTATCTTCAAATACAATTTTATATTAAGTTTAATAGTACGTTGAAAATTCTTTTCACGTGTAGCTGCCCTGCTCCTTGTGTATACCATTATGTCTATCATGTAAAATACTTGATATATGCAAACTTAAGACCCCCTCACAACAACTGAATTCTGTATTAATGTGTCATTATACTGCTTGCAAGAACCACTGAGCACAATCATAGATAAGACCAGATATTAATGTGTAGTAAATGCTATGCATGCCACATGTAAGAACGTAGTTTTAAAATTTTTCGTAAAATAAAACTAGACCGATCAATTTGGCAGATAGCTAACTGGGTCCTGGCATCGTGCTGTTTCTCACAAATGCCTGGCACTCTTCTAGTAGAAGGCAGCATTCTACTGCAGTGGCTTAGCATGCAACAGTTTCACCACAACACCAATTCATTTTAGTTCACTGAAGCCTCGCTGACGCAAGTTTTGAGAATAAAAACTCAAATCTGAACGTGTAAACTTGTGTATTTGTGCACTTGTGCAAGAATCCCAAACTTTACACACAAGCATGCAGGTTCATTCGTTAGCTTGGCAAGAAGCACAAACCACCAGCAATTCCAGCTCAGTGACGCTGCACTGAGGTACGTTTAGAGGACGAAGACTCAAAACTGAGCAAGTGAAGTCAAGTGACAGGTGCTGAAGTGACAAAGACAGAATCTTTATTATTATTAAAGCTGTAGCGAGAGCTTATTTCTGTTTCTGCTCTGCCTCATCTCAATCTGTTTAGACAGCAACACAGAGTGTGCAAAGCAGTGGGGGGAGGGGAGGGGGTTATAAACGTGGCATGATCGCATAATTGTGCATATTCATAGATACGAATACAAATACGAATGGGAATACCTTTATTGTCACTGTACAAGTACAACGAGATTTAGTGCACACTTCACTGCAAGCTATCTAAATTAAAAGAGCAAGGAAAATAAAATTAGATAGAATAAGATGAAATAAAATAGAGATAAACAGCATAATTACAGAAGAAGAATTCTTACTAAGTGTTGCGGACGCTCCTATGTAGCTTCTTGGGCATAAAAATAATACATAAAAATGTATAATACTTTATTAATTTATCAATCAACATGGGTGATTTTTTGTGTTTTATGACTTTAGTGGGACGTGGCATGAGCCGATTAAGAGGCTCTATACTGCATTTAAAGTAGTACGATGCTTAAACGTAGGGTGTTGTATTGTGTTTTGTGTTGCAGGCTTGAAGGCATTTCTGATGCATTTTCTGACAGATCAGATTTTTCTGCAAGCTTGACTTTACTGTGTGTGAAATGCTCGGTGGGCTGCAACTGAAATCAGACCTGACAGATCGGTGTGTGTGTTTGTGTGTGTGAGAGCGCATGCAGTGCTCTCCATCAGTCTGCCTCATGCATTATTCAGGAGGTGCCGGACCCTCAGTCTCGCTCCATTCACAAATCTAAAACGCTGCCGCAGCAGAATGATGTGAGTGTTCAGTGTGTGTGTGTGTGTGTGTGTGTGTGTGTGTGTGCACTCTTGGCTTCTGTCAGCCTGCATGATGAGCGTGTGTATGTGTGTTGACTGGAAGGAACATGTCAGCAAGAGGTGCAACACTGTGTATGTGTATGAGAGTGAGTGTAAATTGCTTTGGTAAGTGCTCTCAGTCAGCCTGCAGGGACAGAACCCCCTCAACATATTCGGTTATGAAATTCTGAAAAGGACTCGGGCAAACATACTAATCTATCCTAACTCTCTCTCTTTCACTGTCTATCCCTCATTTTCTCCCCTCTTCTCTCTGATCTCTCTTGGCTCTGTTTTTCACCTTTCCGTTCACGATTCCCAGCCCGATCCTCCACCCGAGCAGTGCTCTCTCGCACACATACACGCAGAATTGGCAGGCTAAAGCATTACATCACACAGCTACATTTTAGTCCCGTCCAGAGAGCAGACAGTCCTGAATGTTCGAAACATGGGCCAGACCACCTGTCCCTGCAAAAACAGCCATACACACAAACTCATGCTGCCTTCACAGACCCGTATAATACCCATATAATAATGGTTACAAAGTCTTTCTAGAGCTTTTTAATCAGCTACAGTAGTGCGATATATATTGTCTATCCGGGTCAGTCTATTGAATTGGTTCAAAGTCAGAGTTCGAAACCCGGTTTGGATAAGCAAAATTCTTTTGCTTTGACCCTATACCCGATTTACATAAATGACTGAACATTCCACTTTGTCGCTAACAAAACAATCATAACAGTACTGAAACTTTACCAAATGTTTTGGCAGTGACTGTTTCTGCAGTGACGATTTTAGTTAATTTTAAGCAGAACTCAAAAAAAAAAAACACAGCTTTGAACGGTACAGTTC